GGGTTTTTATAGTATTTAGGGTCAAAGGTTATTCTGTTGTTATATCTGGTAACATTTCAAAATGCTACCAATGGCAAACGATTGGACCAATTTCAATCGAATTTGGTCATTAAGAACCAGTGACACCTCCTTCACCCCAGTCTGAGATTAGGGGTCACATAGGGGTTATTGGGGTCAAATTTTCAAAATAGCGCAATTGAGCTCAAATTTACCAGGAATGATCCTTAAAACCTAAACATAAAAAAAAAAATCACCATATAGGTCAAAGTTCATAGGTCAAAGGTCATTCTTTTTCATATTTTTTGATGTAGCTCAAGTTCATTACTTTGTACATTGTAAGTATGTTTAATATGCTCTTAATGTCAATTAAGGTCAAAGATCAAAAGTCACAGGGGTCATTTGGTTGAAAATTATCAAATATTGCTAGTGACAAAGGATTGGACTGACTGCATTAGTGAGACTCCTACCAAACATGGGGTGTTCACAGCTTGAGGTCAAAGATCACCGGGGTCATTTGGGGATCAAATCCTGAAAAATGACTGGGTTCATGTTCTATTGAACATAGTGTCTCTAGTTAAGTTTATGTCGAGACAAGAACAACTAGAACAACAACAACAGTAATAATAATAATAATAATAATAATATTAATATTAATATTATATATAATAATAAATAATAATAATTGCAAAGAGGTGTGTTGCTATGACGAAAGGATTGCCCACAACTACCAACGATCCGGCTAAGAAGGAAACTTGTTGTGTAACCGAAAATATCCCAATTTTTTAATAGCTATAGATATTAGACCTATGTATCAATAAAATCCTCAGAAAATGTAATCTAATAAATGATATACTGGCAGGCCTCGATATCAATATTATAATTAATAATCATTATATTTTGCTGATTTTTCTTAATTTTAGTGCAGCGAAGTTATTAGACATCAGTTATAGTTTTGTCCCAACACTACGGAAGCACCTAAGTGCGACTTGACAACATAATTATCTTGACAAGTTGTCAAGTCGAATGGCACTTAGGTGCTTCCGTACAACACAAAAGAAAGTGCGTTGACTATTGGTTTTAATTAGACATGACCAAGGCGAGCGTCACGCTTTGATGCGTAAACAATTAGAGACATACGATTCAGTGCTACCGAATTACGCACCTAACGGAAAATATTGCGAATCACAAGGGAGTTTGTGGAGGGATCATACAGTACGGATCGTCTCCGTTAAAGGTAAATATTCAATTTGATTTCCGAGGCCTAAATCCAATAGTCTTCCAGCAATAGTATTGTCTCTAACATTAGTACTATACTGCAATAGGCCTAAATACAGTATTGTGATGTGTAAGCCTTTAGACTTAACCATAACCTGGTCATTTTAACCTGTGTCACAAGAAAGCGCGTACCGTAAACAGCAGTCAGCAATATCCATTCCCAGTGTAGTCTATAGCTACTGTTCTGGGTCACGGTAAATCGCCCACCCTAGTATCCTACCACGATTGGAAGTTCGCGATATTTATTTCTTCGGTTAAGCAAGGAAGTAATAACGAGCAAGGTATGCCTCTGCGAGGCCTCCCGATGAGGTGTAGTCATTTGATTATGACTCAGCTTAGTATTTTGAGTAGGTCTACTACAATTTTAGCATATGATTATTGACGAAGGCAGTTGGCCGAACACTTATCGTAATTAGATTTTAATATACAGTAGACTTCATGGTTAATATAAGAAAAACAGCGAGACGCTTAATTGTTACTTTTTAAGGTAAACATGACCTTGCGGGCCCCCTGATGATGTCCGACCCGTTCTATTAATACAGTACTTCAAAACAACCATCTGCGAGGCTTTATTCATTCGGTTCCAAATATATGAATTATCCAGTATCGGATCCATTATCCAGTATATAAAGTAGATAATCACAATTATTATTTCAGGTATTCAATTCAAAATATTCTTATTGCTTCAATATGCCATAAGGGCATTATCCGCTAACAAACTTGACACAATACATGCAATACAAATTTATACAAGACAAAATTCAACAAGATGGGTTTTGAAGAGACTGCAAAGGAGACAGTGTTGGCCTACATGTTGAGAGCTTGCTTTATAAGGGAAAGGGAGATTGAGAAAGGGTCAATAGAGAGAGAATATGCGCCCGGGGAAATGGAATAAGGAAGGAATGATGTTTCAAAGCGGGAGGTGCGACAAGGGATGGGGCAGGGGTGGCGCCTGGATTTGCCCGAGGGGTGCCGAGGTCCCCGGCGGTGGGGGAGGGGGATATGCCCCAGATGAAGGGTCAGATTTTCCCGACGAAAGCAAAGAGGGCGTGGTCGAGCTTCGATTAAAAGGCTTCGAAAGTGGTCCAGGGGGTGAAGATGAATATTGACAATTTAGGGGTTTCAAAGGCTTATTTAATCGTTTTTTTGAGTCTACTAAAGGCCTATGTAGAAAATACATATAATTTTTTTTTTCTCCCCGACGATTTGTGCTTTTTCTCCACGACGGGGGTGGGG